CATATTCCTTAGGAGATAAGGATTGCTACAAATAAAGGGGATGATTATCCTAATCCTATAATGATTAGGATAACTACAACATATGGATAAATACAAAGGAGGATAATGACAAGTCTTGGCCGCCTAGTCTTGGGACTGAAGTAGACTGATGTGGTCTGGTCCATTTCCGGATATGTCCCAACCACCATTTCTTAACAGCAATAACTTTTTTAAGTAGATTTTTTAGACTCCTTCTCTTTTAAGAGTGCATTACCATAAAGGACACATTATCATCTTTTTTTACAGCTTAAGACATATTACGCTGGTGAAGCACATTCCCGATTTTCTAGATGGCTTTCGGACGGAAATGCCCTTTATTAGGCAAACTGAGACATGTGACTATTTTATAATATTTTATTATTTAGTTATAGGAAATAAATTGTAGCCGTTAGTTGTGATTTAAAAAAATAAATTCAAGGGTGAGGGACGATTGTCAAGTTAGACTCTCAAGGAAATAACTGATGGGATAATAAGTACGGAGTTTTACTTCTTTTTGCTGTTGTATAAAGAATGGGCTTTTGTGAGTCGTTGGATGTGGTTAGTAAATGTGGATCGTAGGGCTACGTGACTTATTTAAATATATTACTATTATCAATTCTCCCTCTATTTCTTTATATGATTAGTTTCAATTATTAAAGTATATATATAAATTATTTTGATATAATAAACTATAACTTTTTATCTTCTATATTTTAAGATCCGTTTTAGTATATTTTAAAAATTTGAATATGAAAAAAACATATCAACCAAAGAAACAAATTTGTAGATTAAATGTTTATGAACAAGTGAAATGTGGACATATATGTTGTGGATATACTAAAAATGTGGACATGGACACATTAAGTGTATACAAAAATGTGAGCACATATTGATGTTGATTTGAAAAAGTGGTTTCACATTACCAACCATCACGAATGTGGACATAGATTAATGCTGATTTGAAAAAAGATTAATGGTGTTGATTTCACATTACCACCATCAAGAATGTGGACATATATTAAGCGTGAACAGCCAGATGTGGACATATAATTGATACACACACATACATAACACATGGGCAACTTAAGATAGAAACACCAGGAGATGAAGCAATGGAAATCAGAGTACACGCAGTGAACTGCTGTCTAAACAAGCTGGAGCAATAGGTGCATCAAAAGGCAGGGACAATTTTTGGCTACAAAGGTGACCAACCACCATCTTTATGTGCTGAATGCAAAGAGGAAAAGAATCTCATAATTTTTGGCTACAAAGATAATTTCATACTGAAGTAAAAGAATCTCATAATGAAGTAAACAATGGGTACAAGAAAGCACAAAATCTACCTACTGAGGTAGTGGGGGTGAATGGACCCTTGAACTGCAACAGAAACCAACTAGTTTTGACTCCACAGTATAAGTTACAAAGGCCATACCTTTTGGAGCAGATTCAAAGAGAAAAAGGAAATAAAACATTTTGAATTTTGTTAGTGTTCAGAAACCGGTGATGACACTTGAAAGGCCGATGAAAACACGAGCGTTGAGCCAGAATATTCTCTGGAAATCGGTGCCGATCCTCTGTAGCTGCACACCGAGCGTACGATCACTGGCCAGGCGAAGCCGTTCTTCCCAACCATAGCCACAACGGCACTTCCATTGTACTCGAAGATCTGCATCGGCACAATATCCATCAATTAGTCACCATCATAGAAATCAAACAAGAGACTCTTACTGATCAACTTACCGACATAGGAAAATAAGGTCTCTTCACCAGAGCAGCTGATTTACGTAGTGGAGCTTTGTCAATGAATAGTCATATCAAAGTGAAGACTTTCTCTTATTGCCTCGTTGGCGTGATTCGGGGAAAATTGTTGAGTCTTGATTTCAACTCGGTACCAGAGATGCGACGGCTCTGCTTCGCTCAGTGAATCCAGCGCCGATGGTCAACAAGTCTCGATCTAGCTTTCTGATGTTCGACGTCGAAGAGACTTGAATGCTTCTTCAATATTTTTTGCATTCTTCTTTAGATCCGGCCATAGAAACTCGTTAGTAACACGCGAATGTTTAGAAAACTCCATCTTTCTTTTCATCACCATTACTCACTCAACAAAAAAAAAAAAAAAAAAATCTCAGAAGCTACAGCTCTCACTCATTTCTTCCTCCTCCAACCATCTCCTTCATCTCTCCTCTTCCTCTTCTATCTCTCCTTGTGTCTCCACTGCTACTCCGAAAAATCTGTTAACGGTTCATGGGTGTAGCTGATACTCCTTGATTTGGGTTCTTGTAAACTATATCAGATTAAAATTATGATAATCCCAAATCAAAAAAGATAAGATTCTTTGTATTTGGAAAATTGATTTAGATTCGAGATAGAAGAGAGAGAATGAAGAAAGTCAGAAAAATAGAAAAGCTGAAAAGTGTGGGGTAGAAGGGACAAACCACATAGAAAATGTGTGTCACATGTGACTTGTGTCTCTATGTGTAAATTATAAGTCAAAATGTGTCTGCGAGAATAATTTTTTCTTCTTTTAATAGTATAGATATGTCTAATTTGTATGTTGATATATACAAACATAAAAATGTGTAGAAAACATCATTAGAGAACAAAATAAAACTTCGATATATACAAACATAAAAAAATGTGTAGAAAACATCATTAGAGAACAAAAATAAAACGTCGATATATACAAACATAAAAAATGTGTAGACAACATCATTAGAGAACAAAAATAAAACTTCACCCACTATTATTCTATCTCTTAAGTTATTTTAATTGCTAAATTTTGAAAACAAGAATCCATATCATATTTCGAGACATGAGAATTAAATTGTAAGAGACATACACAAGATCGATAGATATTAACAAAAACTCTGTATATAAACAGAGTTCAAATCCCATTAAAAGAAAGTAATAAAACACGAAACGAATTAAAGACTATATAGGTATATAAATGAAGCGATCGATGAACAAGAGTTTACGGAGAAGACAGAGATACATCAAAGATTCATGCGCTATTACTCTTCCGTTTCTTACGGACAGGCTTTGGGTTACGGACAAAGAGAGTCTCTACCTCGTCGCTCCCAACGTCGGTGGCTTCGAAGAACCGAAGATCTTTAGACAATCTTCTCTTCTTTGTCGGAGGAATCTCACGCGGTCGCTTTCTTGGAGCCGGAGGACAAGTATCCACCTCTGGAATCTTATGATCACTTGAAGTTGGTGTACACAAAGATCCTAACAACTCTTCCTTCTTCGATCCTTCTTCTTCTTCTTCTTGGTTTCTTGGTCTCTGTTCTTCTACCTTTTCTTCTTCTAGGGGCTCGAGAACCTTGGACATGGTCACATGGAATATGAAAATTTATTGTGATTTGTCTTCTAAAAGAAAAGAATGTTAAAAGTGAATTGGAATATACAGTGATTGGTACGGAGAGAAAAAGAAGGGAAATAAAGAGTTAGTAATTTGCTAAATGTCCCCATGTACTAATATTGAATGAATATTCGGATATATTCAATGCTTTTTGTGCAACTTAAATGTCATTTTCTATTTTTGATAAATACTGAAAGTTAACGGAGAAGCTTATCCAAAATAAGTCTCATGTGTCACGTCAATTTCGATGGTATATGTCTATATACATACAAGGGTTCAGCATAGGATACCATTTGATCAGTTAAAAAAATATGATATTTTCATATAATTGATGTGCCTACTTTCCGACTCTCCTTGGACTTTTATTCGTGCTTCACTACCTATTATACAAACCAATCAGATAGAGCCATGTCATCCTCCACTTAGGATTGAGATTTGCTCAAGTTAAAAAGTTCGGCAGAGGCTAGTAGTACATAGCATTACTTCCATCGATCACTGCCATTAGCCAGTATCTGCAGAGATATTCATTGAGGGCTCAGAATATCCAATGAGCTTTTTTATAGATGTCGCTTGAGAAGCAAATAGAGTGGCCCATACTTTAACTAAAATAGCCCATTAAATAGTGTCTTTTACCATCCAGTTAATTGAATGGTTTTTATGTCAAAAAAACATCTTATATATTAAAACAGAAGTCATGACTTGATTTCATGTGTGATTTTTTAAAAAAATAGACTATTACTAGAAAGTTATGTTACATTAACTCTCTAATAATATTATCATTATTATATCTTATAATATGCTTAACAATTTTGTTTTGGTAAATTACCCCACACCTTCCAACTTAGTCACGCAAAATATGTCAATAGATATAAATTTAGGAATCTTCTATTATTTATAAGGAAATATGTCAATAATAGTTAAATGCATCCAGAATNACCTTCCAACTTAGTCACGCAAAATATGTCAATAGATATAAATTTAGGAATCTTCTATTATTTATAAGGAAATATGTCAATAATAGTTAAATGCATCCAGAATATATTAACAAAAATCACAGATTATTAATATGTAATATTTATATACCTTAACAAAATTTACACGTTATATATATTAGATAAATTTATTTCGATGAAAATTTTTAAAATTGTATTGTTTAAAAAAAAAAGAAATTGTTTAAAAAATTCCTTTTTAATAAATTTTTATAATATTAATTTATGAAGCTATAAGTTTAGTTTTTAGAAAAAATTTCTTTGAAGTTTATATTATATTTGCAAATTAAATTACACTAATATTTAATCAAGCTCTATTTATATTATTTTATCTAAAAATGAAATACTAATCTAACAAACAATAAAATATAGAAGAAGAAACAAACACATGTTTGAAAGTCATGTATAATATAGAAAATTTGAAACAATCTAGTTGATTTAAACATTTATTATATAATATTATTATGTTTGAAAAATATTTACTATACATATCGTAAATATGTGATTACTATAATATATACCAATTTACAAGGGAAAGATACTCAATCCCATTCTTCTTGCTGCCATCACATGATGTGGAAGTGAAACCATTAGAAGAGCTTGTGAGTCCTGAAAACCCTCCGAGATACATTGGATATAAGTATGGCAAGTTCTATGTCAACAGAAACAGAAGCGATTTTAAAAAACTTGAGATCCAAAACATTCAGATCGATGACTTCAAAGTTGTAACTTAGTATTAATGGTACTATGTGTGACTTGCAAATTTATTAGTTTGATCCGTATTAGTTAATTATGAAATTTTTCATCATAAAATATTATGGGCTTTCATATTTAAGACCAAAGTTGTTGTCTCTGAGACCCGGAAGTCTTCTTGTAGATCCGACATAACACCCAATCATCTAACTGAAACAAAAAAAACAAAACAACGAACTTTAGCGATTATTGTCTGAATCTTGAATAAAGTTTTTTTTAATGAAAACCCCATTTTTAATAATTGTTCTATTTATGGTGAAAATTTATCTTATTAATATATAAAAATTCCAAATTAGGTACTTTAAATTAAACTAAATTTTGACCCGCGCAACCGCGCGTGTGTTTGTTTTCGTTTATAGTTAGTTATATAAATATGTTGTTTTCACTTGTAAATTGGTATATATTATAGTAATTATATATTTACGATATGTATAGTAAATATTTTTCAAACATAATAATATTATATAATACGTGTTTTAATCAAATAGATTGTTTCAAATTTTTTATATCATACATGTTTTTCATAAACTCCAACTTTTATTTTTGTTGACGATGACTTCAAAGTTGTAATCATCTATGGAATAACTCTAGTATTAAGAAAGTCTTTGATAGTTTGCAAATTTTTTAAAATTTTGCAAATAAGTTGTATCCTAGCTAGTTTTTTACCATTTTTTCAGAAGCTAGAAACCTGGTTTTATCGTAGTAGTTTCGTTATAATTTTGTAACCAACATAGGAAAATTCGCACCATCACACATGTACGTAAAGACACAATGGCTGGTTTTGTTAGGTGCAAGAAAAGGAGTATACCCGAGCAAAAAGAGTGTTTGTGTGTATAGCTAATATTTATTTACTATATACTTTTTAATTTACTATATAATTATTTTCATACATCGTATCTTAAGCATAGCAATAATATTTAATCATAAACGTTTCCAAAAAGGGAAAACTTTTGGAAGTTGTAACATGAGATGCATGGTGGGGCTAATTAATTATTGGAATTCTTAGGGTGTGTCAGATTAAGTAATTCTAACCCAAATGTATACTCAATTGCAGTACCGGTCATGACATGGGAAAGACCAGAAGCAATTTTCAAAAAATTGACCATTTTTATAAGAACGTTTATATACTATAATAATAATTTTCTTATAAAAAAGGCTGAATTTTTCAAATATTTTTTGAGGGCCGGAAGCGGTTGCTTGTAATGCTTCCCCTCAGGGCCGGTACTGCTCAATTGCTAGGAAAAGAGTATAGAAATAGACTTCTATTTGAAAATACATGAAGTACACGATATCATATTGTGAAAAAATCAATCAATACATCAATCAATCTGGAGTTTAAGTCTGTAGAACATGTTGATGCAATTTAAATGATCAGCTGCTACATTATAAGTTAATTAACAACATATCTTGTCATTTATAAAAATGACTAAATCTGATGACGCAATATAGAATAGGAAAATCAATTGTATACGTAGTAACAAATTGACAGAATAATAAAGTACATGTTTTATTATAAAAAATTGACAGAATAACAAATTGACCCGTGCAACCGCGCGGGTGTTTGTTTTCGTTTATAGTTAGTTATATAAACATTTTGTTTTCACTTGTAAATTGGTATATATTATAGTAATCACATATTTACGATATGTATAGTAAAATGTTTTTCAAACATAATAATATTATATAATACGCGTTTTAATCAAATAGATTGTTTCAATTTTTCTATATTATACATGTTTTTCAAACATGTGTTTGTTTCTTCTTCTATATTTTATTGTTTATTAGATTAATATTTCATTTTTAGATAAAGTAATATAAATAGAACTTGATTAAATATTAGTATACTTTATTTTGAAAAGATAATATAAANATAATAATATTATATAATACGCGTTTTAATCAAATAGATTGTTTCAATTTTTCTATATTATACATGTTTTTCAAACATGTGTTTGTTTCTTCTTCTATATTTTATTGTTTATTAGATTAATATTTCATTTTTAGATAAAGTAATATAAATAGAACTTGATTAAATATTAGTATACTTTATTTTGAAAAGATAATATAAATTTCGAAAAATTTTTTGCTAAAAAATAAACTTTTGGTCTTCATAAAAAAACATCTATACTATTAAAACTAAAGTACCAAAACGTTTGGTCTTCGCCATCCTTATTGATCAAGTTTCACCGTCGCAAGAGAGACAACGAAGAGTAAGTCTTTGATAATTAGGGCTGGAGAAGAGGAGACGACATAATATTTTGAATTATAACTTCATAAATTAATATATTTTGATAAAAAATAAACTTTTGGTCATCATAAAAAAACATCTATACTATTAAAACTAAAGTACAAAAAGTTAAGTGTTTGGAAACATGAATATGAAGTATTTAAATTTATGATGTTTGGAAACAAGGATAGCCTACAAATCTAATGGGTTTACTTATTAAACTAAAAATTACTGTGGCTCAAAATACTATTATTATTGTTTTTGGGTTTTCTATCATTAATATTACTTTATTTCTAAAAATTATTTATACATATATGTACTCGTGTTTTAAATGTATTTGGAATAAATCAAGAATAATATATATTTTATTTATATAATTTATAAATACTATTGTTATAAGTTTTTAATAGTAATATACTACCCTTCCAATTCTTCATTAAAAATGAATTTAAAAATTTGACTAAATTGTTTAGTGTATATAACTTTGCACTAAATTCAGTTAAAAAAAACTTTATAAAATATTACTAAAATATTTACGGGTCACAACATTTTACCGACGTCCTGTTACACAATACAGTGATGAAATACTGTGTTTAACAGTATACCATTACTTAGTAAAATTGGAATTGTAAGATTGTAATTTTAAAATATTTATATGTACGATAAAAACAAAGACCCGTCCAGTCGGACGGGTTATGATCTAGTACTGTATTAATCTTTGGGGTTATTGTGTATGTAAATAGACACAATGTATAGTCTTTTATCGCTCACATACTATATTATAGTGTTGACTCTTCTTTAGCAAAATATTATAGTCTTGTCTAGATGAACAAATGTTGTTACAAGTACAAAAGGCTAATGTATATTGGGTTTTATGTCAAAGAAAATTCATAGCTCGTTTATCGGTTCCTAGTTCCTACTACTTCCTAATGTATATTGGGTTTTACTGGTAAATTGGGCAAATGTTGGGCTTAAGAACGAGAACAAATCTTGGGCCCGAGGCCTTCACCGCAAAACATTAATGCGAATGGGTTACATTACACCACGTCACTATCTAAATCAAAAAGGAGGGAAGGAAAAAAAATAAAATAAAAAGGAGGTGTAACACTCCGATCCCACACATGGCACCTTTTTCTTTGTCGCCTTCCAAATCATTAATCATTTTTTTTTAATTTTAATTTCTCTTACTCTGTCATCGGGCCAACAAAATTAAATTAATTTGTTACCGATACC